ATATAATATACTTACAAAATTTTTCATACTGCAAAACTACAAAATTTTGGTATTCAGCAACTTGCAGCAACTATATGAAAATATGCTTTTTAATTCGCTACAATTTGCAGACTCCATTTCTGTAGTAAAACATCAAAGTTTTTTTTAATCCTATAATGCAGTTAAATTAATCTTCAAAAAGTATAAAAAAAAATATAACAACAACAAGTTAGTAAAAACTTATATTAAAAGCACAAATAACTGTATATTACATATGTAAATGGAACACAATAAATTCAAAACTATAAAATATGTATGTTTATTATATTACAAACTTATATCTAAACTTATTTACAAAATATTCACAATAATAACGTTCACAAAAGCGTCCGAGCGCAAAAACAAAAAAATAAACACTACAAATTCAAGGATAAATATCAAAACACTTTACACGCACACTATGGTAAATTTGTGTCAATTGCATATAGTATTTTGGAGCAACGAGCGACACAAGCTACTCGTCGGAATGCCAGCGAAAGACTGCCGCGCGCGCCCGCACACAGCCCCTCCGCAATATATCGATTGAAATTTCGATAGAATCGATAGTTTGTTCAGCGAATGTTAACTGATTTACATGAGCAACGCTCTTTTTAGAGAATTTCTGATTACCTTTCTATTAGTGTTTAAACATTTCCAAAATTCGTAGCCGTTTATTAGATATTATTCCTGGAAGTTTAACGACAGCGTTCCGTTTTTAATTCATTATATATAGAATTTTTAAAGATAGAATCATTTTAAACGCTCTTTATGGAGATAAAGAGTTGATGATTCATATATATTTTTTTCATAATTTTTGAACCAACCGTTTTGGAGATATTATTCCTGGAAAATGCCCATTTTTGTTAATCCTCGCCTTAACTGACCACTCAATGCCATTGTGCATTGATTAGCTGCAACTATCTCAGGGCAGCACCTGGGAGCGACGGTTGCGTGTGTAATCAATACTAAACTAGACTTGATGAGATCTTATTATAAAAATGTACATCCTCTCAAGTAGAATTGTATATAAATTTGAAAAACACTAAGGTCTTCGTTCGCAAACACTAGAGACAATATAGAAAGAATAATTTTCCTTATAAATACCGACACTACACGGAGTAATACTTTCTATATAGACTAATTGTTTAACGTTAAATTAATTAGAGTTTAACAATTAAAGAAATTCATATAACAATAGACAATGAGGCATTAGCCTTCACAATCAAGTGTTAATTAGCTATTTTGTGATACGAGTATCACAGGTAATTAGCAATGTCAATATCTTAACGGCAGGCGGACAGTCCGCAACAGCCTGGAATGTCGCAGCAATTTAATGTTAACATTTCCTAAAACTTTTCCGTGGTAGGGAATAATAATAATAATAATAATATAATCTTTATTGCACACATACAGACAGGAAAACAGAAAGAAATCACACAGTAAAACGATACAAAGTACACAAAAGGCGGCCTTATTGCTAAACAGCAATCTCTTCCAGGCAACCTATGGAAGAGAATAATAAAAGGAAAGGGAAAATATGGGGTATTGGGTGCAATGGTCAGAAGGATTTTTGTTAATAATTTTATTAAAACAAATTTGACATCTTTAATATCAATATAGTGAAATTATTAACTATATAAGGTTTAATTATTTAGAATATTAATTCCTTAAATAAATCAATTCTAAAATGTTTATTTCGTAAGAATTTTATTAAAATAAAAAGGCTGGTTTCTAGTTCTGATACGACAATTCACTGAACCAGTTTAAGATTGTAATCAAATCACTAGATTTATTTAAAGAAATGTTAAAATCGAGTTTGGCGGTTCTAACATCCTCCGTTATTTAATCACATCCTTTAGGGATTTCATGAAAACCCTGTTTTTATAATTTGTCTTTGACATAAATGCATTCGGAAGACTTCTAGAGCAATATGCGCGATGTGGGGTGATACCGTTAGTAGATCTATACTCTAATTCAAAGCATCATTCATACATGGTTCTAATGAATCTTTATGCTTTAGTTTTGTGGGTAATTACCATTAGCTTCAAAACCGCTATAGAGAATTTGTGAAGTACATTTTTAGCTAAAATAATTATTTTTAGGATTTATCCCATTTTTATGTTTAAAAGAATCTTTTACTTTTTTCAAATTTACATTGTAGACTCTTTATGAATAATTTATTTGTGTGCTCGCTCAACGCTAACAGTTACCTATCCCTGCATGGTCCCGGAAGAGTAATAATAGGGTTCTTTGGGATTTTTATGAGAATATTTATAGAGATCTTTATAGACCTCTATTATTTACGATGATTAATTTGGTCGGGGCTAAAGTTTGTCCTTCATATTGTCATGGGAACAATAAACGACCGTGTCCCATTGCTGGGAACGATTTGTGAAAATGAAATATGTGAACTATTAATTATTGCATTCTGTTGAAAGGTATTGTTAAGATTTAATGATATATCATTTTACTTTCTTTTATGCTGTTTTTTAATTAGCTGTTTCTCCGGTTTCACCTCTATAAATTACCACTTATGTGACCCGCGTTTAATGCAGCTTGAAAGTCAAGTAATTTTATAATCTGTCCTGTTCTTTCATAATAGTTTTATAGGTAGTTTTATATTGATGTCTTCGATTAACCTAAGATTGATGTATGTATTTTTATAATCGGTACAGTATAGTATACATTTCAGTTTATCCACTATTTAAACAAAATTTATTTAAAAGCAAAATACACACGTTATTTGATGATGTGATTTCTCAGAAAAATTTTAATTAAAAGAGATAATACGAAATTGAGTCGCGCTCGCAGTTTAAAATAAAACCCAGTAGTAGAAATAATGAAAAAAGTTTTGAATTATAGTTGAACGGATATTCATCTCTTACTGAACTATTACTGGTGTAATGAACCCAGAGATGTTTAACTTGTAAATTATTTCCTTGTATTTGCATACGGTCCAGAGATTTGTATTAATTGTGTTGGTATTACTTAGATTTGCATCTGTGAGTTTCAAACTTAAACTATTTCTAGACACATGCTGTATATAGTTATTGACGATATCAAAAGGAAAGTTTGTCTTTAAGTCTCTTTTCTGTCTACACAAATATTATAAAGAGAAAATAAATGTTTCTTTGTTTGCAGATTGTATTATATACTAGATCGATCTGATCGACTACTGGATAAAGGTTCTTTTACTGATGGAAAACTGCATCATACGCGGGTGATGAATAAATAAATTAGTTAACATTCCAATTTACATTCCTACTAGACACTTTTTCACCGATATGTAGGTGCGTTACCACTAGTAATATAATCTATATATTATAATATTATAACTATAACGTGGCACGAAGTTGACTAGTTTTAAATATTTTTTTATTATCTCCAATGAAGAAAGAGGCTTGTACACCCATAAAGGATAGTTTAAATGTGAACCTAAATCATATTCATAAAAGATAAACATAATGATATAAGGGTTTTGTAAAATGTGAAATTATATAAAAATATAATATTCTTAGTGAAAAACGCTTAAAAAATCCACTTTGTCCCTGGCATTCTGAGATGGGGCTCGAACTCATGAACTCGCAGTCCGAGCGGCTGCTCTTACCACTGAGCTACCCAGGACCTAAGAGGACAGACGATTTTTTTCAAGCATTGTTACTTTTTCATTAAGAATATTATTCAGTATAGCACTGTGAATGCAATATTGATGAAATACATATAATATTTCCATACATATATAAGATTCTCTATAGTAAGTGTGATTTAGACGACACCGTCAGTCAAACACAATTGAGTTTCTCTGTAAGATAAAGATATATTTTGTTCATTTTACAAGATCAAATTAGATAAAGTTTTCAATTGTCAAAATCTTACATACCTGTAAGATAAAGAAACGACATTTAATGTTATTGAACACGATGTCAGTTTCCAAATCACTACAACTTTTATTCTTTCAAACAATAATCTTCTTTTATAAATTATTTTCACTGTTTTCACTGTTGACAATTATTAGACGCCTCTCTAGGTTATGCTTCACTTTTTTAAATTTGCCTCACAGACCAAAGAGCACCTGCACAGACTATGAACCATTTCTAATGACGACGCCTGTTGCGCGGAACAATCCAAATGAGAAAACCATGGTTTTCTTTACATATATAATAATTATCTATAAAAAAACTTATAATATTACGCCTAAAAATCTTCATATTTATCAATTTGTTCTCATAATCATACTCATTTTTTATTGGAAAAATGTACAAATATAGAGTCGCCTGGTAGCCGAGAGCTTTGAATCAACCCCAACAATTACAATAAATAGTTTACGTTTTATTCATTAAAAATGTTTTTTCACTCGCAATTTCATTTATTGCTATTATTATGCGTGCAATAAAGCGGTTATTTATCTATTTACACCATTTTCTGTCCCTTGGTGTGTTTTATATATTTTTATTTTTATTAAAAAATGGTAAATGGCTACACTCAGCTTGTAATTTCTTATGCAATTAAAATAGTATCATAACATACCTGTAGCTCCAAGATAATACAGATATGTTAATTTTTTGCACTGACTCAACCGGGTGTTTCAGAAATGGTGCCACCAATATTTTGGCAAATATTTCAAATCTGTTCTGATAGTAAAATAAATGAAACACTATTCGGTTTCCATTAACCAACGCTATTCAGTTTAGTCACGTCATCCATTTTCTTCAAGAGCATATCTGTGGGAGACTACACACAATCCCTGAGTTTTAATTCCATCCACATCGCTTGTATTTTACGGGCCATAAACAATTTTATCCAACGAAAATAAATTTTCCAACTGTTTGATTCAAGTATTCATTCATTTCATAGCGTTAGGGGAGAATGCCAGATATTTTTATTGGACACCGATTTTTATCGACGTGTATGTTTTTTGCTCGCAAAACACAATGTTACGTGATCGTTACATGAGGACTTACATATATCTTTTTGTTTGTTTCAGATCAAACAGCGTCTGAGTTAGAATGACAAATGTAAAGAAGAGGAGGCATCACAAAAAGTATAAGGTTCGGTGAAGCAATGAGACGCCATTAGCATCATGTTAGAGGAAGGCAGTGGAGACCTGACCAAGCGAGCGTACTGCAAAAACGATATAGCGTTCGCTGAAGACACGAAATGCTGCTTCACTACCAGGAGAAGTGTAGATGATTCCAAGTTTTTCTGCTGCCGATGTGCGCATAAAAGGAGAGCGTCTCCGTTGACATGTTTAGCGATTTGTTTCCTCGTTCTCACGTACAACTTACTCGGAGGCTTTCTCTTTCTGGCTCTTGAAGGGAATACGACAGCGGAAGAAACTGCAGTGGCCGCATCTAAGCCGAACCTTAGTCAATCACAGAGTAGCAGCAGCGATTTGCGCTCCAAAACTGTGGAAAGACTGTGGTCTATAACGGAAGACTTGAACATTCTTTATAAAGAAAACTGGACAAAATTGGCAGCCAAAGAGTTGATGGACTTTCAGAAGGTGTTGATGAAGACTATAAAAGGTGGAGCTTCTTTAGAGAATCGCATCTCATATGATCAAGAAGGGGATTACCGATGGACTTTTACTAACAGTTTCCTTTACGCGCTTACTCTCATCACAACTATAGGTAAGATATGCATACATACTATCCAATTAAACTCGTTATATGTATATTATCACTGTATAATTATTGTGTTTTAAAATACTTTCTAATTTGGAAGAAAGATTGATGTGTATAAAGATTAAAACTGAAGATGCAGCTAAGAAAACTTGACGTGCCTTTTGGTAAATAAAAATGTTTTGTTCAATAAACCGATGATTTGTTGAAATATCTGTAAACGTAACTTGAAACCGCCGAGCACGGCACCATCTTCATTAGCATCATAACTATTACAAATTTTTACTAATATGATGAACAATATTTGGCTATTTCTCGCTGCTGGTTAGAATTGCTATTTAGAATCTTATCTTTAAGCTTAAAAGTCATTTCAAGATTGATCTTACCTGTTATCCTTTAAAAAACGAAATTAATTATGAAATAATACCTGCATTCATGATAAAATATGGATAAAATCTCATAACTCCGTCAAAGATTTGACTTCATTATTTTCTAGAATCAAATGTTTTTTTAGCTACCTAAAAACTTGAGGAAAATATTTGATTGACATCATAATTTGAAGGTTGCTTAAAGAATTATGTCCAATATTATTATTGTAAAATGTAATTTTATAACTAGGAAAAATAAATTATTTTAAGTTGCCAGTAACCGATACTTTTTTCGACTAATTTAATAACTACACTTTTGCCAAACAAATCTTTCAGATGTCAACTGTTTTATTAATAGTTTATTATTTGAATTATTTGGAATAAATTTGTGGCGTACCGGAAAAGGCAAAATGGTACCATTATCAGATGTGTCTGTCTGTCACAGACGATTTTCTCCGAAACTCTTGGGCCGATTGAATTCAATTTTGTTAAACTTATGTAAGTTGATGATCTAAACAGCAGAAACACGAATGTATATAAATTAATTCGACAAATTGGCCTCTTTGGTAGATTGGAATATAAAAGTTATTTGCAAATTGTACTCGTATTATGACATATCTATAGAAAGAGTGTGTTGCGATGATTTCGAATATATTTGAATTTCTATCCAACTTTTTCGAGCAGTACTATTGGCAAAATTCAAGAACATTTTTCTTCATTCGCAGGCCATGGGAACGTCACACCACACTCAGCAGCTGGTAAGCTGGCAGCAATCACATACGCGTGCATCGGTATCCCCATCATCATGCTCTACCTCTCCACTATCGGCGAGGCTTTGGCGAGGAATTTTCGGGTCCTTTACTCAAGGATCTGCCCCTCCACACTCACCAATGGCAACTTCCATACTAAGGCCGATTGTCTCAGTCGATTGTCGATTCCCGCCGAGTGCAAACCGTACAGTGACTGTGATAAAAATAAACTCAGTGAAAGACCTAAAAGAACTCCTTTTCAAGCTGCTTTAAATTTGGACAGTTTTAGTGGCGGCTACCATTGGACGTGTCGGGACCATACGCGAGTACCAGTTCTTCTTAGTTTATTCCTCATCGTATCGTACATAGGTTTAGGCACCTTCTTGTTTCGCGCTACGGAAAAGTGGAACATTGTCGATGGCTGCTTCTTCTCATTCTCCAGCCTCGCCACTATTGGATTTGGCGATTTGAAACCAGGTCTATACGCTAGCACGGTATCTGCTAAAGCAGAAGATATCGCTATAGGCGTATGCTGTATCTACATTCTAGTGGGAATAGTCGTCATCGCCATGTGTTTTAATCTTATTCAAGAAGATATGAGCACAGTTTTGAGAAATTTCACCGCTCTCTGCACTGGAAGTTCCAAATTTAGAGCCGTGCATAGCATCGAAAAGATTTGCGATGATAAGATACCGATGTCCGTGGTTTCCTGACATAGAGAGGCGGCCGAATCGGGGCCGTCAGCGACTTTCACTAACTGTCAAGAAAAGCGTCAGCAGGTGACTTTTAAGATCGACAGCTTAAACCCGACTAAGTTCAACAGTCTGCCGCGGCGTAAATCCTCTAACTGTGACGAGGGTTTCCAAAGAAACACCCCTATAAGGCGATCGGCGGGTCACGCGGAGAAATGTGTCGAATACTTTGTACCGAGAAGTTTGAGCGAGTTCAATCTGAGTGGGATGGGGGAGTTGTACGATCTACCTCCTTTGGAGAAGAAAGGAGGACCTGTGGATGGAGGAAAAGGAAGAGATAAGATGGTGACGTTCGAGGACGACCGGCCGCAGGGCAAGCCCCTCGCCGACGACGTTTTTATGTGACAACGACGCGCGACGCACGTAGGTGTAGGTTTGTTGGTATGGACACGGTTTGTTACATAATTTAAATATAAAGATTTTACACATAACGAGTCACTTTTATTTATAGCGACCTCTTTTTTATTTTATATTCATCATGAAAGCATATTTGCTCGTGTCTCCTAACGTAACATACATTAGTAAGATTGAATAGATCTCTGCGATATAGTAATAATGTTCCAGTTAAGTAATCGAGTGATGGCATTTCAAACTTCTAAGCCATTCGTCTCGACAAAATTGGGCGGTTAATATTAATATAACATAAACCTAGATACCGTCATTTCGAGGAATATATGAATATTAAACATCTTGTGTATATCAAGGCTCGTTACTGAGATAGTTACTGTAAGCCCGAAGATAAACTTTGTTATTATTTTTATAGTCTTTTAATATAATAAAATGCTAAATTTGAAATTGAATAACTTAGTTTTGTATCAGAGATTGTTTGACATTAGCAACATTACCGGACGTAAAAGAAGATAAATAAACTTACGAACAAATGTCCTCTTAAATATTGAACTCAGCCAATAAAAATCAGTTGCAGACGGAAGCAAATTCTTCTTATTTGATTCCATCCACGGGGATGCAGTTACATCCACATCCAGTGGAGACGTAAACAGGCAAATGATTATGAAAAGAGATCTTGTAATGCAGTAAATTGGACTCTTTTTTTTTATAAATTTTTACTTTTATTTACTATTCTTAAAAATCGAAGATACTTCGTACCCTTTGGAGGTTTTTTTTTAACGACTCGGAACTTAATAAGATACTCCATTCAATAACCGTACCAATAATAAAAAAAAAACAACAATCTCTTTCTCTATGTTCAGTCTTTCTTATAAGGCTTACAAAACTCCAGTCTCAGCTGACACGAGCCGACTTATCATTGCCATCACAACATTATACAAATGTAATAATATTAGAAAGGAAATACAGCCGTTGATATATTTGACGACAGACTCAGAGTACACAATATTTGATTTAAATTTGATGGCACAACCCTGTTACTATAAGTGACGTTTACATAATACATTTGATTTGATATCCGCCATCATCACAGTCTTGACACTACGTAGCGTAATGATACACATTAGTGTTCTATGCCGACGATCTAACTGCAAAAAAATCGCACCTATTAAAATGTAAAGGAAATGCGGCAAAGTGTAACTAGGAAGAATTAATAAATTAAATTGGTCACTGCCTGGTTTTCAAGGATTTTAGCTAAATCACTGTGACAGCACAGCCTTTATTACTTTTTTTTATTACAACAACTTGGTTTATTTCATTGAACCTCTATGTTACGATAGCACTGCGCTCGACAGCGAGTTTGTGGCTGCTTTTATATGAGAACAACACAGTTGAATACTTTCAATAAATTTGAATTTTCGTTCTATAGAAATAGACTAAAGATACTACAGAAAAAAAAAACATTTGATATACAACACATTAAAGACACGATGACTAAAAGTCGTTGGAGATGTTATTAAAACGAAGCCGGACATATAATTTATAAGTGTAATAGCCAGTTACAGAATAAATTTTGAGTCGGTCCAGGCACTAATGAGTCATTAAAAGTCGGTTTTAAGTGGCATTAGTGTATAAAACGGCTGTAAATCTACTCTCTGCTATAGGTACATAGATAACGACCAAAGAAATTAAGATTTTTTTATCATATTGCGTCACGACGTAGAGTAACCACGGGTTAATAATTGAAATCATGTAACATTTTGGTCCAGCTCCTCAGGTACCAGTTTAGTTACAGTTAATCTAATCCATATTAAAGTAAAATTTGATTTTTTAATGAATATGCGTATTTTTCAAAGAAATATTCGTATCAGTTCGACAAACTAAACAACAATAATCGTCCTAAATAACTGAATTTACATGAAACATAAATGAATTATTATCCAAAACCTGTCTCTTAACGTAATCCATCCATTTGTGAAAATACGAAAATTCTTTTGGGAATTAATCACACTTCAGTACGACTTTATTTTTGAATACATCAAGAAAGAAACATATCTATCAATAAAATATTAATAATTTACTTAAATATTGGTCCCACAGTAACAAGATATAAATTTCTATATTTGCTACAAACAACTAAATTTCTTAGAATATTATGGTCTCATTGGAATAACACTTCCCCAGAATCCTGTTTGACTTATATTGAATACAGACTGGGGTCGGTAATCATAGACAGTACTTGCTCTTACATGTCAAAATTAGAATATCTAGTAACTAATATCACAAGATACCTATTTGTTTATGATTTGATTTAAGTGTTCTGTTCCCAATTTATATTACCCTGAATTGTTTTGTAGCAACCTGCTTTGGTTATATCAGTAAGCTGAAAACGGAAAAAATTAGACTTTCTACCGTGACGATGGCAGACTGACGCTGAAAGGTAATAAAGAATAACATATAATGTTGCCCCCGCCGTAAGCGATACACGGTAACCGTATGTAAGTGTACTGTATCGTTAAAAAGTCAACTTTTAACTATTATTTTACCCTCGTACCATGAAATACGATCATTTCATTATCAATCACTACTACGACAACTTCAAGTTAAACCCTTACTTCCTAGTTACAAGACTATAAAAATAACAATATTTAGTGTATAATTATTAGTTAAAAAAACAACTGAAATCAAACGAAACAAAAATAGAGTAGCAATAAATTTATTTTATGTTGCCAAATTAATACCTATAATTAGGTTTGGTTTCGTTATATAAAGCAGAGGAATGATAGAATTGGTTTTGTACAAAACACTTTGATGTTAAAGAAACAGCCGGCGGCCTCGGGAACGACCGTGAGTATTCGCGGACAAAGGGCGTGGTGACTGAATATAAATAATTTTATGGATCTGTTTCAAGTTACATTCTATTATGAATAATTTAATGTTCTTTTGTTTTTTTTGGAGCTGTAAATCGTTAGAGGATAAATAAAAATGAAACTATTTACTTGTGAAATTTCTCAACTCTAACAACTGGTAGAATTTTTCATCTCTGACGTGAAATATAAAATCTATGCAAGTCTTTTTTTTTTTTTTAATTCTAAAGAATCAGTATTGCTTTCATATTTTCCGTCAGATACTGACCTTTCTGGTGATTATGTTCAAAATTGATCACCGAGATTCGTTCTTTTGTAGTCACTCGTTGTGTTGTATTGTATAACAACATTAAATGTTTTTTATCAGCGACAAATGGAAAATATTAAGTTTTTTTTGTGCTTTAACGATAACAGCAGTGAGCACGCTACGTACACCATACACCAAGTCCGGTCTAAGTGCGCGTTGTCGTGCCTCCTGATATTTAGTAAGTAAATGGACGCTGGGATAAGAGGTTCGTTATTGCTAACGTTCAGACGACCCATACAAGTCTCTGAGATTGTTATTATCTGGCTCAGTATGCGGCCTAACATATTTAAGTTCAAAAGAAACATGAAAGAAATTTAGATTGGACTATTTCATGGAATGTAATAAATTAGGGTTTTTTTTGGCTGATCTTCTGTTGCAATGAGCTGTAAGATTACTACAAAAACAGAAGTGATCATTCGTTTCTGTTTGTTCAATGTTGTGGCATCATTTGTTTAGAAATACTTTACAGAAATATTAATATATTGTTAAGTAGAATTTGGAAAAGGAAGAATCTAAATAAAGATACAAATATTTTACCAGAATTTGAGAAAGAGGACGTAAATTATTAATAGAAACATTCGCTAGGTGATTTACTTTTGTAACGCAGTCAAAGATCGATTATGGAAAATGTATGGTATTAGTGATCTGGGTCGCCAGTATTACCATATTCCAAACCAAGAGAAAATTTAAACATAAGATATGTTATTATTTAGTATGGTTCGAAGGAAAACATTTACTCTAGTTTTTGTCTGCGCCTTTATCTGAATGTGTTATTGATATTTTGAAAATAAATGGACTAATAATCGATGTCTGAAGGTCTGTCGGTGGTAGTTCTCCTGATAATGCCAAATGTAAGAGAGGTTAAAAGGCTAAAAGGAATTTGTGTCTGGCCTGTCTGGTGGTCCGCGGCCTTAATCGATTATACGTGTTAAGATGCAAATTGTATGTGTGTTCAGTTGCCACAGTACTTAAAATAAATATGGATATCTTTTGCTTGCTCTTTACCGTGAAAACATATTAAACAGACATAATTGTTTTCGCATTTGTAATAAGATAGGAAGGTATAAGTAGTAGGGTAAAGAAATTAAAAATTCAGTCACTATAGCCAACTTAAAAAACAAAATCTCTCGTCTCTTATGACATGAACGATATGAACACCAAATATTCTATTCATATTAAAATCAGATTTAACACTTGACTTCTCGCTGTTTGTCTTCAACTACCTTTCTTTATATTGTTTGTGAAATATCACCATTCACTCACACGTGATATGAAAAATGTAAAACAAAATGAAAAAAATGAAAAAAATGATAACAACAAAGTAAGCGCTTTATAGTTAGGCAAATTAGGAACCTGTCTCGAGTAATAACATAGTTTACAGCAGTACAAATAAAACCGGAAGAAAGGAACGGCCCTTGTCGATTTACCTTTTAGATGATTACAAAAATACTGATCGTAATTTTATCGCGGTTAACATTCTTAACTATTTGTATTTATAATAATAATAATACTCTCAGCACGGGAGTCCGACCCTTTTATTGTAACATGTGATCTCTAGATCCAATAAGCCAATTCATATGAGACACAATTCGAAGACAAATTAAGAAGTAGAACCGTGCTACCTTTTCACATGTCAGTATGTACCCTTTGTTCCTTGTGAAGTGCGCAGGGACGGCGAGTTGGCCGCAGGTGATATATTTGAAAAGGGAAATATTGTAAGCGGAAGGTTTAAATAATCTTCTTAAGGTTCCATTTATAGGATTCTGTGAACGTGCAGAATACCTTAATAAGAATATAAAAGGGAGTTATTATGAAATATTGGA